CGTCTCTATACTAGAGGTGATTTTAAGAACCACATCAAATTACTATGTTTTTACCTTGAACTTTCCCAACTTTGTCCTTTCCTTCCTACGATTCCATCTATATGAACTAGAAACTCCTCTTTCTTTTGCTGCCTGTTAACCTCTTTCTCTTACTTAAACTTACACCAGGACTACTTTTTATCTGAGAAATCTCCCACAGGTTGTCCTTATCAGAGTCAATTTCTCTGTAATCTGTGATCTTACTGATATTACGTTAATTTTCCCATCAGGCTTGTATTATTGTTATTAGATTTGTTTGTGTATCCTCTCCAATTAGATGGTGCCTTTTAGATATCTATTTGTAGTCACCTGACAAATAAAGTGCTTGTGCAATAGTACACTTATCTTCAGGCACATGTGACAAACCACACTGATATTTGTGATTTGGTCTCCAGAAACAGAGCCATGTTCAGGTAATGTGACTTTCAGTGAGGAAACAGACCAGAAGGAATTCATTTCAGGAAATTCATCGATTCTTCCACTATCGACAACAGTTCAAGGTAACTAGGAACAAGGTCACCTTTCCTGAGAGATAGATAATCAAAATATCTATGTGTTTATTTATATGCATATACAATAATTAAGTAATTAAACATAGGACACACATATCATACAGTGTTAAGTACCCAGAAACATATTTGCTAAAAATCCACTTAACATTGGAAGTTGTCGATAAAGCTTACATAGTAATAATCCTCCCATTAAATTACAGTGACATAATTCACGCCTTAGCATTCTGCACATTAGTTAACAGAGCAGCAGTTTTAAATGGGTGAATAGAATTGATCATATAAAAAATATATTGCTTCTCACTTATTTTTCACAACATAATCACCCACATATAAATGCACAAGGAGGAGGCATTTAGACTGACTGTCATTTTTCTTCAGGTTCGAAGTGTCACCCTTGTGAAGACAATTGGCACCAGCATGGGGAAAACTGCTACTCTTTTTCTACACAACCGAGTTTTTGGGGAAATTGTGACGTTCATTGTACTACGTGGTCTTCAAGTTTTCTTAAAGTAAATACTGAAAAAGAAATGGTAAAAACAAGTATATGTTTCTTAAATTTTAGTAATTTTCTCCAGGAGCTATTTCTTGGGCTTTAGGCTTTGTCTGCTCTGATATCCTGTTTCAGCACAGGGAAATGCACTGCAGACACACAGGATTATGCTGTTCCTTTTTCTTGAAACTCTTCCTGGGGACCTGGTTCAAAGCCTCTAAGCCATATATGAGTGCAAGCTCTATTCCCGTCTGCACTCCTGCCTTCCTCCACAGCCTCCTTAGTTACCAATAACGTTTTATCACTTCCACTTCCTCACCCACGTTTTAAACTTCTTCACTATGTACTTACTGATGTTTAATTCTATCTTCTCACAATTTTACTGTCCTCTTCTAAATCCTCTGTAACCACACCCTAGTAAGTGCCTATTTACTTTTATGGCTTATCCTAAAATATCTATAGTATTTAAAAACGTATTTGATCACCTGGTCCTAAAGGAATTTCTGTTAAATCCTCTCTAATTTTATCTGGTAATTTCCTTACTGTGGCAATGGCTTCCTTAATTTGTTTGCATCTTTCTTTCTTAAATTCACAGGTAACAAGTCTATTTATTGCCTTTCAATTCTCAATATGCAGCACAATATTCACAGTATTATGAGGGCTGCATAATAGTTGTTTGATTAATGAATAAATTATAGGTTATTGGTGAGTTGCCAAAAAAATCCCAAGGGCACTTTTTATTACAGTGTTACAATTCCAGATAAAAAATAAAAATGTTTAATGAAGTAAATAAAACTTTTAATTTATATATATATATATATATATATATATATATATATATATATATAAATTAAAAGTTATATATATATATATATTCAAATGTATTATATTTATTTATTTCCTGTTCTTATTCTTTCCAGGATTTTGTAAAAAAATTTTCAATGAAGCAATGTCATATTGGAGCAGTAAAGTTTTGGATCAGTTTATATTACAACAGCAGTGAACAGAAACGGGCTTGGAAAGATGGCTCAGCTTTTACTTTGGACAAGTAAATATCTTCTTATTAGTTTATTTTAAAATATATTTCTATTAGAGGTCCAGTGCACAAAATTCATGCACTGGGGGCCGGGGGTGTCCCTCAGTCCAGTCTGAACCCTCTCCAATCTGGAACCCTTTGGGGGATGTCTGACTGCCGGTTTAGGCCTCATTCCACATGGGATCAGGCATAAACCATCAATTGGACATCCCTTTCACAATCTGGGACTGCTGGCTCCCAACTGCTTGCCTGCCTGCCTGATTGCCCCTAACCAATTCTTCCTGCCAGCATAACCATCCCCTCACCACTCCTCTGCTGGCCTGGTCATTCCTAATTGCTCTCCCTTGCCAGTCTTATCACCTCCATCTGCCCTAACTTGCTGGCCATTTTGTGGTGGCCATATTCGGTGACATGGGCACAGCCATCTTTGACTACATTGGGGCAACCATCTTGTGACCAGTGGGGGTGGCCATCTTGTGCAAGGGTATGATGGTCAATTTGCATATTACCTCTTTTTACCTTTTTATTATATAGGATTATTTTTAGAGAGGAAGGGAGATGGAGAGAGAGAGAAACATCAGTGATGAGAGAGAGTCCTTGGTTGGCTGCCTCTTATTTGCCCCACTCTGGAGATTGAGCCAGCAATCCTGGTCTGTGCCCTGACAGGGAATCGAACCTTGACCTCAACCACCTAGCAACACCAGCTGTGCTCTTCCAGCTACTTTGAAACACCAGTCCCAGAATAGCAATATTACTTAATTTCTAGTGTGCATATAATTAGATGTTAAATTCCATCATGTGAAGTTTTCTATTAAACCTGATACTTATTAGTCCAACTCACATAGAACTCTTAAAATATTTGACCTTTAGAAATAAATAACAATGATGTTTAGTAAGGGGGCTAATGATTTATACCCAGTAGAAACCAGCTGATTTTCTAGGTATAGTTAATTTTTATTTCTCTGAACCATAAAAATTTCATACATAATATATAAAGACATTTATGAGAGGATTGTGAAGGAAAAACTATGCTCAAAATAATATTGAAATGTGATTTTCAGTTTCAATTTTTGATGAGTGAATGGAAGTATTTCTGAAACATTATAACAAAATATATCAAAGGAGATTCAACACTGAAGCAAATATAAAAAACCACTTGTGAATTATGCTAGACAATTAAAAATTTGCAAAATATAAAACAAAAACATGACAATGTTGGCACTACTTTGGGAAGTTATATAATCACTTTTATATTTACAAAAAATGTATCTATATTTAGTATTGTTATAAATAAATGAGTTAATCTTTTTTACTATAACAGAATTAATTTTAAAAGTGACAAATTTGGATAGGTATATCTCAAATAATAAAATTTCTTGGGGTCTCTGGAATAAATTTGATAGTTGAAAGCAGTTCTGACACAAAATTTGAAAACTGCTAATATCCTACCATGTTATTAAATATAAAAGATTCTATTTTATCAAGCACATGGACATAATAATCAGGACTAAAAATAATTTTAGCATCTCTCCTTCATTTACTTGTTTTTAAAATCCTCACAGAGTAGAGAGAGATACACAGAGATAGCACAACCTGGTATAGGCCCTGACCAGGAATGGAAATTGCAAAGTTTTGATGTAAGGGACAACACTCTAACCAACTGAGCTACACTGACCTGGGTTCATTTACTTTGAATGAAACAAATGCTCTCCTACCCAAAGATAGCAGCTTTTCTCTTCATTAAACAAGCACTTGCTTGTTGTCACTTATTTTATTAGATTCCAGATCTCTGAAAATTTTGAGTCAGTTATAGTCAGCTTTATCATTCCATTAATGGACCAGTGTTTTGAAGGTCCTTGCTCTGCCATTTTCCTTCCTTAGGAGTTGAATGAAACAATTATTATTTATTATTTACATCTTTAAAAATCTGCCAAAGAAATGTATGTTCCTTTATATTTCAATTAATGCATAGTAACCTTTAAGAATAGGATTAATCTATGAAATAAATTTTAGTAAAAATAGAAATTCTTTTTTCTTCTAGGACCCAGTTAACAAAACCTGACGTTGCCTCTAATCATTGCAAATATATTAAAAATGGTCAGTTATTTGATGATAATTGCAAAGACACTGGTTATTGTATATGTAAGAAGACAACATATGGAAATTGAATCACTCACATGCGGGATATAAAACTGAAAGCAACAAATGAACAAACCTGAAAAACAACAAAATCACATAGATGCAGAGAATGGTGTGGTGATTACCAGAAGGAAAGGGGTGAAGGGCAGCAAAGGATAAAGGAGGTGAAGTGTGTAATGGAAGAAGATTTGACGTTGGGTGGTGGGCACATAATACGATATATTGATGATGTATCATAGAATTGTGTGCTTGTATCCTATATAATTATATTACTCTGTCACCCCAATTTAATTAACAAAAAGAGAAAGAAGTGGAAACATTGAAACTTTTCAAGAATTATTTTTAACTTTAAGAAATATTTCAAAAATGACAAATTTAATAAACCTGCATATACCATTCATCCAGCTTTAAGTATATTTAATTTTCAAATATATTGTGATTGAATGTTCTAAAAGCATTATTAGTTTAATATGTGTGAATATTTAGAAAATCATGGATTACAATCTAGTTCTACCATAAGTGTTATCAGCAGTTTATTAAACTTAGAAGTGAGTTTGTTCATCACTCAATAATTTATAAATAAAATGAAACATTGGTACAGAAGATACATTACTTAATTGTTCATTTTTATTTGCTGCAAGGATATGGTTTGTGGCATGGCAGATGAAAACATACTTAATATAAATATTGGTGGCATTTTCTTCTGGAAGTTTTCTTCTTAAAGAAAGTCAGAGAATGGAGTTTTTATTTTGAAATCCTTTATGTTTTATAAATAACCAATTCTTCACACAGTTGGCTGCATACAGATGTATGTGTATGGACTTAGACAGTTTTCTGTATAACCTTTAAAACTTGAACCATAAACTGCACAGGTTCCGTTTGCCATGTCAACCATTGTTAGTCTAGATTAGAGAGGAAAACAAATTACATGTATGACTACATTATGCAGAAATATAAAAATGAAATACAATTTTCTTAAATATAGGTGCTGAAATAATATCATTTATTGACCATGCCTGGATTTTTAATTTATAGATAAGTGAAACATAGCCAACTCAGGTGATAAAAGAGAAAATTGCATTCTATTATAAATTAGGTGCTACTATTTTTATACATCAGAAATTAGCCAATGTAGAAAATCTGGAATCTCTTTATATGTGTATCTATCCTATATAATAAAAGCCTAATATGCTAAATGTCTGGCTTTCTGGGCAGCCTTTCAACTAATCAAAGTGTAATATGCTAATGATATGCTAAGGAAACTCAATCACTTGCTATGATGTGCACTGATAATCAAGAGGCAGATGCTCTAACAGGTAGGTTAGCATGCTTCTGCTGTTCAGCCAATTGGGACTAAGGAAGATGGGCCAGACATAATTTGGAATCTTCCCATAGTCCCTCCCCAGCTGGCCAACTTTCCATTTTCCTCCCCAGTTCTAATTAAGCATTGGTGGGATCCCTCAGCCTGTATCCTCTCACAACCCAGGAGGCTTTGGGAGATGTTGGAGAGCTGGTTTCAGCCCTATCCTACAGGACAGGCCGAGGGACCCACTGGTGCAAAAATTCATGCACAGGGCCCCTAGTGTAAAATTCAAGCTTTAAAATGTTTTTAAATAAATATTTGGTTGGAAATAAATTCAGAATTCCATGTCCTGTTTTGTGAAAAATGTACAATATTCTTCAGATATATGCAATTTTACTTTTAAAAATTTAATTTTTTAAAAATTTTAAAGTTATAAAATTTTTATTATAAAATCTTCCAGTATATACAAACATACATAAGGGTGTGTGTCTTTGTGTGTATGTATGTGTGTGTGTGTGTGTGTGTGTGTGCGCGCACATGTGTGGTTAGGCATAATTATACGTGTATACCTATTTTACTCAAGGATTTGAGTATTTTGTAGTTATATAATTAATGTAATACATAGTGATTTGTTTTCTGCCAGAAACAGGTAGGAATGATAAAGTTGAGGAAAGAATGATGATTGTACTTCCATATGAAATTGACACCAATAAAGGACTGTGACCTGATAATATATATACATATTTTAAAGGAAGAGGTCATTATTTCTGTCTACACAGAAACAACTAGCCTCTATAAGAGAAAAAATTAAGATATATTTGGTAACAGCTCTTAGTTGATCTCAATCTATGCACATTAGAAGCTCATTCTTTCTAACCTAACTCTTTTCGTGTGTTTCTTTAATTTCTGTATTTGTTTTCCTATGCCATTGCCATCACATTGCTGCCAGAATATGGGTTACATGGGCTTTACTTATTCGTTTCTAAATATATTTCTAAGTAAAGTGTGAAGCTTTTAAAGGAGTTATGGTCTATTCATCTCTGTAGTTATCTCTGCATAGTTTATGGAAATGGAGTAGCACTCAATCAGTATTTTTACATTCATAAACAAAAGTTTAATAGGCCAGTTGTTTTGTTTACAAACTGAACTTTTATACTTGTAGAGTGGATAAAGTGACATATGATGATACAAAATCTTCTTAGTATTCCCAGACAACAAACTCTTTTTTGTCAAAAGTGACATCTCAGCCATATAGATCAATTCTAAGTTAAACAGGGACACATACAAAATTTCAGAAATAGGACCAGAGGCATGGATAAATGGAGCAGACTGAAAGATCTCAGAAGGCAGGAAGGTTGGGAGATTGGGAAGAGATCAACCGAAAAATATATATACATACTAGAGTCCTGGTGCACAAAATTCATGCACAGGGCTGGGAGGAGGTTCCTCAGCCCCTCCTGCACCCTCTTGCAATCGGTGACAGCTGGCTCCTAATGGCCGGGCTGCCTGCCTGCCTGATCACCCCAACTCCTCTGCATGCCTCCTGCCTGATAGCCCCTAACCATGCGCTTGCCTGCCTGATTGCCTCTAACCATTCACCTGCCTGCCTGATTGCCCCTAATTGCTCTGCCTGCATGCCTGTTCACCCCAACACCTCTGCATGCCTGCCTGATAACCCCTAACCATGCACCTGCCTGCCTGATTGCCAATAACCACTTGCCTTCCTGCCTGATCGCCCCTCACTGCCTGCATCTGCCTATCTGATGTCCCTAACTGCTCCTGTGCCTGCCTGATTGCCCATAACCACCTCTGCTTCAGCCCCTGCCACATCGGCTTAGTCCAAAGGATGTCCAGAATGATGTCCTGAAGATCATTCGGTTGTCCAGTCTAATTAGCATATTACACTTTTATTAGTATAGATAGGCATAACCCATGGACATGGAAAACAATGTGATGAAGGCCTAGGTGGGTTGGGGACAGGGTGAAGGAAGGAAAAGGGAAAAAAATGGGGGACATCTGTAATAGTTAACCTTAAAGAAGATAGACCATATTCTAATCTATAAAAAACAATAAGTGCAAGTAGATTCAAGTCATAAAGTATGTTTCTTGATCAAAATGGAATTAGAAAATTGATAACAGAAATATCTCTGGGAAATTCTCAAATGTTATAAACTAACACCTGAAAATTTTATGCATCAAAGAACAATGTAAAAGGAAATTTGAAAACTATTTTGGAATGAATGAAAATGAAAATAAATATCTCATAAATGTGGGAATGCTGCCAAATCACAAAATATTAATAGCATGGATGCTTTGATTGGAAAAGAGGAAAAGTTTCATATCCATATATTAGTTTTTGTGATAAGAAACTAGAGAAAGAAAAGTTAACTGAGTGAGAAAATAATAAAGATCAGAGCAGAAATCCATATAACAAAGAGGTAATAAGCAAATTAACCATCACACATTCACATTCACACAAGATAGCCATCCCCATGTGGCCACAAGATGGTCACCACAAGAAGACTGACAGGGGAGGGCAGTTAGGGGCAACCAGACCAGCAGGGGAGGGCAGTTAGGGATAACCAGGCCTATAGGGGAGGACAGTTGGGGGGGGGACTGGTCTGCAGGGGAGGACAGTTAGGGGCAGCCAGGCCAGCAGGGGAGGATAGTTAGGGGTGACCAGGTTATCAGGGGAGGGCAGTTCAGGGCAACCAGGCTGGAAGGAGAGGGCAGTTGGGGATGATCAGGCCAGTAGGGGAGCAGTTAGACATCTATCAGGCTGGCAGGGGAGTGGTTAGAGGGTGATCATGCTGGCAGGAATAAGTGGTTAGGGGCCATCAGGCAGGCAGGTAAGCAAGCTGTTTGGAACCAGCAGTCCCGGATTGTGAGAGGGATGTTCCATATTGGAGAGGATGCAAACTGGGCTGAGGGACATCCCTTCCCCCCATGCATGAATTTTGTGAACTGGGCCTCTAGTCAATTAAATAAAAATATTGAAAGCTGAATGTTAAATAGGCACAGGAAAAATGCTCAATATTATTAGTCATTAAGAAAATGCAAATTCAAACCACAATGAGATACCACTATACACATAAGAATGGATAATATTTAAGAAATTGATTGTAACAATATTGACCAAGATGTTGAGCAACTCTTAAGTTTCACACACGGCTAGTGGGATTGCAAAATTCACAAGACTTTTGGATAATAGTCTGTCAGGCTCTTAAATAGTTAAATATATATTTATTATAGATCCATCTGTTTCTCTCCTAGGTATTAATGTAAGAAAAAGGAGAGCCTATGTTCATACAAAGTCTTGCACACATATGTTCATAGCAAGTAGCTTGCACGGTATTTAGCTCATAACAAACAATTAAGCTTACTCATTCTTCCCAAAGTACTAAATCTAGGCCCTAAGAGATTTGGACTGACTCTATTAGCATATGGAATATCCTGGCATTGTGTGAAGGAAAATGTGATAGTTCAGTGATCATAGGAGTAGCTTAGAGTCAAATCCACAACTAGAGACCTGTAGGTACAGACTTACAGATCATCAGGGAGAATGGAGCCATCTTCCCACTGCCAGATTCCGTTTGTTGAATTCTTTTTTAGTCCCATCCAATGATAGGACTTGACCAATTTAAAGAAATCCTGTTTGAAATCACAAATACAGTTCTCAGAATGTTAGTAAGTAGAAGGCTATAATAATTTAATCGTTTTCCCCACAGTTGAGGAAAGTGCATTCTGTTCTCTTTCAGAATTCCAACTTCAACAACACTTATATTATATAATACCTGCAATTTTTGTGCATCCTTATTTTTAATACAGAAAATTTTGGGGTTGGTATATTAGAATTCAGTGTCTCTATTTTATGTCAGGTTCATATTCCAGAGAGTTGCCACATTTGGTAGGGCTCACTATAGGCAGATGAATTAAAACAATACTTCACCTGGTCCTCTTTGCTGTATATCTTCAGGAGACTGGAATTTTGAGACATGCAGGAAGCTTGGCTCTGAAACCAGTTTTTGCTCTCATTAAAAAAATAGTAGCAGTTCTTTTTATAACATAGCCAGTTTTTAGGACATGGGCCACAGTAACTTTCTAGAAAGGGAGAATATATTTTTAATTCTGCACTTGTCTGAACATTATATCAGATTTTTCTTTTCGAGGCAGGATAAATGCCTTTTTTATTCTAACTCTAAAATTCCAAATATTAGGCCAGAGTGATCATACCCAATGACATACCTCTACATATTTATAGACAGGTATGCCAAAACTGAACTATGTTTTCCACTTTTTACAATTACCCCATTGTAAAAACAAAATAAAATTTAAAAAGCTATAGTGAATTGTGTATGAGAATTCATTTTCCTTTATACTTTCTTTTAATTATAGATATTGGGATGAGATTGGTTAATAAGATTATATAGGTTTCAATTATGGATTTCAGTAATACATGATCTGTCTTATAAACTTTCCTCTGATAAGAACTGGATACATGCCTAAACCCCACTATACACAGATACATACAATTTGTGATTCAAAATATTTTTTTAAAAAAACTTTCTCTTACCATTCAAGGAAATTGGCTCTGCTTGGTTGAATAATGCTATTGAAATAATCATAATTATTAGAAAGTTATGTATAGTTCAAGCAAAAATAAAAAAGAATTGACAAGTTTCTAGACTAATAGCTAATATATAAAGGCACATTAAATGTTGCTATAGTTTATGTTTCTGTCCTGCTAAATATTAATCCAAGTAATGTATTACAATTGTTAGATCAGCAATGCTATCTATGTCTCTGTTATCACTTACAATTTATGATGATGGCACTCCATATTATTATCATCACAATAAAACGGATTCCAAGAGCAATAGCAATGCACCGGGTAAGGAAAAATGCAGATGCTGATAAAAAAAAAAAAAAGAGAGAGAGAGAGAAAGCATAAAGGGTTCTGGTATTTTTATGTTTAATATAGACGTTAGATTGTTTTCTATGTGGGAGTGATAGTAGTGTTTTTTCCTCATATATTTTCACAGTACAGGTAAAATAAATATTTTGTAAATTATTAAAAATAAAACTGTAAAGCCTACTATTTTCTCCCATTTCTCTTTAAAAGTTCCCCAGAAGAACTTATAGTTAAATTTCCATTTTTTTTTAAATTTCTGAGATACCAATCCCAAATCCCTCTATATTAAAAAAGAAAGCACAAAACTTGCAGGTATTATATGTTTGCTGTTTAAATTGAAATTTTGCCAGAAGACAGAATGCATTTTCCACAGCTGTGAGAAAAATGAACAGTTTCCCTAAACCCCCTTTTAAAAAAATATATTCAAGAAACTATACAAAATATTTTAGGATCATTTTTACTTAAGAAAATGTCCTAGTGATTATTCTAATCATGTCTTAAGAAGTTACCAAAATTTCATAAATAATTGCTTGCGTTGTGTTTTATTGGTATACTAGAGACCTTGTGCACAAAATTCATGCACTGGTGGGGGGGGGGGGGTTCCCCACAGCCCAGACTGTACCCTCTCCAATCTGGGACCCCTTGGGCAATGCCCAACTGCCGTTTTAGGCCTGATCCCACATACCTCCCTTTCACAATCCTGGACTGCTGCCTCCTAACCACTCACCTGCCTGCCTGCCTGATTGCCCCCTAACCTCTCCCCTGCCAGCCTGATCAATGCCTAACTTCTGCCCTGCCATCCCTATCACCCCAACTGCCCTTCCCTGCTGAGCTCCCCCACCAAAAAACAAAACAAAACAAAACAAAACAAACCCCCCCCCATTGGCCTGTTCACCCCCAATTGCCCTACACTGTAGGCCTGGTTGCCCCCAACAACCCTCCCCTGTCAGCCTGGTTTCCCTTGACTGCTCTCCCCTGCAGGCCTGGTATCCCCCAACTGCTCTCCCCTGCTGGCCTGATCACCCACAACTGCCCTTCCCTGCTAGCCATCTTGTGGTGGCCATCTTGTGATAAAATGGGTACAGCCATCTTATGATCATATAGGGGTGGCCATCTTGTGAGAGGATGCGATGGTCAATTTGCATATTACCCCTTTATAGGATGAACTAATATCTTATTATTGATAGACTTTGAATTTTTTTCCAATGCATATTTAAATTGTTTCTTAGTTTTCACTAAGCAATAATTATATACATAACATTTCATACACACCTGTGCATCTGTTTTAATACCTCTCGAGAAAAATTCCATAAGAATTATTACTGAGTCAAAGAACATTTCCTTTTTAAATTTTTGTAAAAATTGAAAATTTCAGTCCAAAGAGTCTCTATCAAATTATGTAGTAACAAATACAGATTTAAAATCCTTTTGCTCACTCTTTCTTTTGCATTAAGTATTATTCAGATTTTTAAATATATAAATCTAATCACCAATATTATTTAAAATTTTACAACTTCATTTTTCTTGGTATAACTAAAAAGACAACAAAAGATTAAACATTTTGTATTACAATTGTCATGTGCTTATTTGTATGAAGTAACTTTTTTCTCCCTTTTTAAGTTGAGAATATTACTTTGTTTCTTGCCATATGTTTTGCAATATTCATCTTAAATTTCATTTTTGTTTTAACTTTATGATATTTAGGGGTGCTTAAATGAATAATAGTTGACTTGCTCAAACCATTATTCATTTTTTTTATTTCTTTATTGATTATGGTATTACATATGTGTTCTTATTCCTTCTTTATCCCCTTCCCTCTCCCCCTCCAATGCATGCCCTATTCTCCCTGTTATCTGTGTCCATTGATTAGGCTTATATGCATGCATATAAGTTCTTTGGTTTATCTCTTTCCCTTACCCCCACTGTCTCCTACTTTCCCTGAGGTTTGACATTCAGATTGATATTTCTCTGCCTCTGAGTCTGTTTTTGTTCATCAGTTTATGTTGTTCATTATATTCCACAAATGAGTGAGATCATGTGATATTTATCTTTCTCTGCCTGGCTTATTTCACTTACTATCATGCTCTCTAGCTCCATGTATGTTGTTGCAAATGGTAAGGATTCCTTTTCTTACCGTACCCCAGTATTCCATTGTGTAGATGTATCATAGTTTTTTAATCCAGTCACCTGATGATGGGCACTTAGGCTGTTTCCAAATATTAGCTATGGTGAATTGTGCATTATCCTTTTTTATATTAATAAAACACTTTCAATATTTTGAGTTTATAAAGTGAAGCTTCCATCATAAGTTATATTGTTTCCTTTTTTAATTGGATCTATTCGGTGTGTATATGTGTGTGTTTATGTGTGTGTAATAAATGAGGTAGAAACTCAAATTTATAAAAAATTTTCCTTATTCAAATGGTTACTGAATTTTTCTAACCCTCGTTAGTGAATAATTCAATGTATTCTTGATGATATGAAATATTGCCTTTAACATATAATATATTCTTATGTGTTTACATTTTTTGCTACATTCTCTAATCTGTCTTTCCACTCAAACTACGTATAAAATATCCCTCTTTAATAATATACTTGAGTACTTATAGTGTCCACAATATGATATTACATTTCTTTTTAAAATATATATTATCAATCATTACACTTCATTATGCCTTAAAAAACTTAAAGTGAGTTTTTCAAGAACCTACTGTGTTAAACTATAGTGCATTAGCCTAATTGGTGGCTCAGTTGATTGAACATTGCTCTATGGATCAAAATGGTTTCATGTTGATATCAGTTGGGTGCCTATGGGAGGCAACTGATAGCTGTTTCTCTATCACATCAATGTTTTTCTCTTCTCTCTCTCTCTCTTTCTCTCTCTCTCTCTCTTTCTCTCTCTCTCTTTGTTTCTCTCTCTCTCTGAAATGAATTTTAAATATATATTTCAACAGAATCATATTAAATGTATAAATATAGAGAGATAACTTACATCTTTAAACTGTCTTTTATCCTTGAATAGTGTCTTTTTTCATTATGTGTATCTTGTTTTATGTTCATTAGAACAACTTTAAGTAATAAATTTATTTCCAGTATTTTTCATTATAGTTTATTTCTGATTTTTGGTCTTCTAGATATGGTAGGAACCTTCCTTTCTATCACATTTTCCTGGCTTTTATAGTTTAATAGACAGTTAATTTTTACCTATTATTTTTAAATAAGTGCACATATCAGATTTTCTTACTGTTTGTAATTTTTTGGCATGAACTTTTAAGGTTTCTTAAAATATTTAAAATCATATATTTTTTTGCTATTAATATTAATTTTGCCTTTTATTCTATTTTATTCTATTTTGCTATTAATGTTAATTTTGCCTTTTATTCTATTCAGGTTGTTTTTTTCTTTTCTTGGTTGTGTATGTTGGCTAGCACCAACAAAGCAATCAATATTAATCAATAATAACAATAAAAACCATTGCCTTTTTCTAACTATAATGAAAATGCTATTAACATTTATCATTAAGTATAATGATAGCTTTTGAATGTAGACCTTAAAGTAGGGCTTATATTTTAGTGGTTTTAAAAGTTAAGTTCTTTTGAATAAAGAATTCATATTGAGCCCCTGCTGGTGTGGCTCAGTTGGGTGGGAGTCACCCTGTGCACCAAAAGGTGGCAGGTGTTTTGCTGGTCAGGGCTCATGCCCGGGTTTCAGGCTGGATCTCCTCTAGGGGGTGCGTAGGAGGCAACCTATCAATGTTTCCCTCTCACATCGATGTTTCTCTCTTCCCCACTCCCTTTCTCTCTTTCTCAAAACTAATTTAAAAAATAATTCAGCGGAAACCAGTTTGGCTCAGTGGATAGAGCATCGGCTTGCAGACTGAAAGGTCCCAAGTTCTATTCCGGTCAAGGGCATGTACCTTGGTTGCGAGCACATCCCCAGTAGGGGGTGTGCAGGAGGCAGCTGGTTGATGTTTCTTTCTCATCGATGTTTCTAACTTTCTATCCCTCTCTCTTCCTCTCTGTAAAAAAATCAATAAAATATATTAAATAAAAAAATAATAATAATCATTCATATTGACTTTTTTTACTCAAAACCTTTTCAGCATTTTGCACATGATCTATAATCCTTGATTATTACATACAGCACATTTTCATTCCTATAATTAACTCTTGAAAGTGTTGCTATTTGCTAATAATTTACTTTTTTATCATTTAATTCAGGGTAGGAACCTTCTTTTCTGCCAAGGGCCACTGGGATATTTATAACATCATTCGGGGGCCATACAAAATTATCAACTTAAAACTTAGCCTGCTATAATTGGTCAAACATCTAGTTAACTCACCCCTAATGTCTTGGTAGGGCCAGACCAAATGATTTCTCGGGCCTTATGTAGCCTGTGGGCTGGACATTCCCTACCCCTGATTCAATTTAAATTGATAAGTGAGATTAGTCTGTTGGTTTCCTTTTTGTGTAAACTGTTTCAAGCTTCATTTTCAAACATACTCTGCCTTGATGAAGGAGAGAGAGCATATATTCTTCATCACACAGAAAACTTTGCTGCAATATTATTTAAAAGTATACCACTGAAGAATATTTTGTATTTCTTTTCTGTTTTCCATTTCTATTTACTCTTCCTCATAGCTAGACGTTCAGTGATCCCTTAGAAACTGCTGTCTCAATTGTCATTATTATGATAATCTGATAGTTTTTAAGGCATGGAAAGAACCTAAACTCAATAGTTTCTGCTCATTTTGTTATATATCCCAATGTTGTATAGAATTAATCTCATTTCTGCCGGGACCGGTTTGGCTCAGTGGATAGAGCGTCGGACTGCAGACTGAAAGGTCCCAGGTTTGATTCCAGTCAAGGGCATGTACCTTGGTTGCGGGCAAATCCCCAGTAGGGGGTGTGCAATAGGCAGCTGATCGATGATTCTCTCTCATCAGTGTTTCTAACTCTCTATCCCTCTCTCTTCCTCTCTGTGAAATATCAATAAAATATATATTTTAAAAAAAGAATTAATCTCATTTCTGCTTTTGTCATAATGGTAAAATGAACTCAGTGCTTAGCACTGATAACCACAGAGTTCCCCGTTTTCACCTCAAGACAGCAAATGGAACATCTTACTTACGGTTTTCTCCACATGTATTTGTGACTAATGTAGATCTTCTCTTTTGCCATGGTGTAGAAGCAGCATTATTTACACGTTTAAATTTATAACTATGGGATTCATCCATCTCTGGAGAAAAACAATTTAAGCCAGTGTGAGTCATGGCCTTTCTGTCACTTGGGTTATAAATTTTTAAAGCTTACCTTGCCATTTCCTTTTGAAGGATAACTTCAAGTTAGTTTCATTTTATGTTAGTTCATTATTATGATTTTTTACACTTTGTAGTATAAATAAGATTATATTTATTCAATAGCAAAATATCTTTAGGAAGATCCTATGTGCTATTAAAACTAGTTAGTTCTTTATGTGTAATAAAATCTAACATTCAAATAAGGACACAGTATATTGAAAAAGATAATGCCTTACTTAGGGAGTTATACATGATTGCTTTACAAAGGCCATTTACTAAGTTAATAACTTCATAAATTGAACAAAAATGAAAGAAAGGAAAGAAGGAACAAAGGATATTAGTATAACCTGGCATGGCTGTTTTCAAAAGTGAAATAAAATAATGAGCACTTACCCGTATTTTCTGGCATATAAGATGACTTTTGAAACGAAAAAAAGTCAACCGAAAATTGGGGGCAAAAGACCAAAATTGCACAAAAATTACCTGCAGATCTTGACGGCAAAGTAAGTCTTTTCTTTGAAGTGGGGGGTAGTCTTATATAGCGAATACAGGCCTAAACCTATGTTTTAACTGTAAAATTAGGGGGTCGTCTTATACACCGGAAAATACGGTAGTATCAATAATGTCAACCACAATACAGGCTAGTGTGTCTAATTTTACTCATAGTGAAGGATATAAAAAGAATAAAATAGTACAATCTAAAGCTTTAGGATAGTGACAAAGAATCTTGCTTCTGAGCAAAAAAAGGTAACTCTTGAAGTAGTCAAACTTTCTGAATATGTAAAAGCCTTTTACAAATAAAATGCTTTTCTACACATGACAGGCTTGTATCAAATTGTGGGTGGATTGAAATTATACCCAGGCCACACTACATATTTATGTGGAAAGTACATACCCGCGCTGTGTGGAGCCCACCGATCTCGGACCAGCCCCATCACCTACGTATGACTGTTTATCTACCACAGAGACGAATCCAAAGTCTTCATTTACAAACGTTCCTGAATAAAATGAAATCACACCTTTATTGAACTGCTTTTTGAAATAAGCCAGTCAGAGGAAGATAAATATCACATGATCTCACTCAGTTGTGAAATATAATGAACAACATAAACTGCTGAACAAAAACAGATCCAGAGACAGAGAAGCACCGATCAGACCGTCAAACCTCAGAGAAAAGGTAGGGGAGGGTGGGGTAAGGGAGAGAGATCAACCAAAGGACTTGTATGCATGCATATAAGCCTAACCAATGGACACAGACACCAGGGGGTGAGGGCATGAGTAGGGGGTGGGGTGGTGAGGAGGCAATGGGGAGATAAGTACACATATGTAACACCTTAATTAATAAAGAAAAAAAAATGATTTCTGCTTCCTTTCTGTGTAGTGATCATCTATGTTGATTGGAGAAGTGAGAATACAGAAAAATTTCTCCCAGGCATCTATAATAATAAAAACGTAAGAATTAGACCGGACAGCCGAACGACCTTCCAGGTGTCTTTTCAGACAACCTTCCAGATGAATCAAGCCACCATGGCTGTGAGGGCTGAACCCCTTGCACAAATTTTGTGCATCGGGCCTCTAGTATATATAAAAAAAGGGAAGAATAAACATGAGGATTCATATCAAGCAATGTAAAATTACTTCTAAATTTATTTTTTGTTATAAAATAATAAACAATTATTTTTAAAGTGTAAAAAATGAGTTCATTTAAATTCACCTACTTTAAGATAATTAAAAAAATGTTCCCATCATTGATATTGAATGATAGTTTTTTATTTACAATTTTATTTTATTTGGTGATAATTGCTTTCTTTGCAAGGCAAATTTGGGTAAGGTACATAAATGAATTTTTGTTGAATGTTTTTCTTAGTACATATTAATTCAACTTCTGTCCCTATCATCCTTCTCCTTATTTACAAGTTATTATCATTAACAAAAGTAATCTCACCTTTGTTCAAATAGTAACATTGCCAGTGTCTAGAAGAACTCTCAGAAAAAAGACTGCTATTTAATAAATATGCATAGTGCTCATATTTTAAAAATAAAACTAGTTTAATATTTAAATATGATAGTTGAAAGCAATAGATATAATTTTATTTTACTTTGTAAGTAAAGTTGTCTATCATGTAAGATGAATGCCTTGCATAAGAGTACAAAACTCATAAAGATGAGAATTCAAATTGAAATTTGTTTTTTTACTCCCAAATATAAAGAGTCATTCTTCTGGTTTTGCTTAGAGACAAGGCTCATCTTAACTTTTGATTCTTTAAAAAATGTATCCTACTTATCTATCATTTAATAAAGTGAGAAAAGGCACACTTTGGAAGTAATAGCCTTCCTTGTCTTCAGTAATCCTATTTTAATACCTAAAAACAATTAGAATTACTTTGTTGTGTAATTATTTTTGGAAATATTTTCTTGAGGTTTAAACCTCAAGAGTTTCTCATTTTTTGAATAATAGTATTAGAAACACATACACACACATGCACACACACACACACACACATACACACACACACCTGATCAGAGAAGGATCGTCCTGCTTCTTGTGAAAAATTGAAAGTGGTGCAATGTCCTGATTTCCCAGTTAAGAAATGAAACAAGAGATGTTCAGTCAACTTTGATCTAAAAAAAAATGTGACGTTATTCTAACCTCATTTTCCTGTTGAAAAAAAAAAAAAAAAAGAGCACAAATCTTCACTACACAGAAAATATTTCTAATTGGTGAAATAATAGGTCCTAACAGCATTTTATGACTTTGAAATGTTGATTAAAAAGTGATAAAAAGTGTCCCAAGGTTTTGAGAAACAGTTGGTAAGATTACATAATCTCTTTATGAATCAAAATAAAAAGTTATAAAAAAAAAAAATGGTGGTAAATAACTGTGAAAGAAAACAGAGAAGAAGCCGAAACTGGTTTGGCTCAGTGGTAGAGCGTCGGTCTGCGGACTGAAGGGTCCCGGGTTCGATTCGGGTCAAGGGCATGTACCTTGGTTGCGGGCACATCCCCGGTAGAGGGTGTGTACGAGGCGGCTGGTCGATGTTTCTCTCTCATCGACGTTTCTAGCTCTCTATCTCTCTCCCTTCCTCTCTGTAAAAAATCAATAAAATATATTTTTTTTAAAAGAAAACAGAGAAGAAAGGTAAACTTTTTAATCACTCTCTGCACATAAGTGTGAGTGAAATCAAATATGCTGTATCATGTAAATTGGAATTATAGATATTTTTTATGTATATAAACATATATGTGCACAATCACAAAGGCCTCTAGTGTATATATATATATTGATTCTTTAAAAAACTGTATCATACTTATATATCATTGAATAATATATATATATATATATACACTGGAGGCCTGTTGCAAGAAATTCATGCACAGGGGTTGTCCCTCAGCCCGGCCTGCACCTTCTCCAGTCTGGGACACATCAAGATTGGGCATAAACCGGCAGTTGGACATCCCTCTCACAATCTGGGACCCCTGGCTCCTAATACTCGCCTGCTTGCCTGTCTGATTGCCACTAACTGCTTCTGCCTGCAAGCCTTATCCCCCCCTAACCATTCCCCTGTAGGCCTGATGACATCTAACTGCTTCCCTGCCAGCCCGATCACCCCCAACTGCCCTCCTCTGCTGGCCTGATCACCCACAACTGTCCTGCCCTGCTGGCTCAATTTCCCACAACTGCCCTCCCTTGCTGCAACCCACCTCCTCTGCAGAATCTGCCTCCTCTCTGTGAGATGGCAGTGACACCGGGACTGGCCTCTTCCAAGCTGCATGGAGCCATGGGACCCCCAGGCCTCACCACGTGGAGTGACTGCTGGGCCTTGCCTCCTCTGAGCACACAGTCATCTTGTGGCGGCCATCTTGTGATGACGTTGCACATGAGGGCACGAGGACCACCTAGACTTTTGTTAGTATAGATGTCTACATATGTATCCATACATGATCTAACAATGAAAATATAAAATATATACAAAATAAAAATTCTATGATAAATCATCATATGCTTAGCCATATGGTCAGTTGTGGCCATTATTATTTCATTTTTTTATATTGGTGGATGCTGCAGATCAATTTCTTGTCCCTTTTATGATTTTTTCTTGTGAACATCACTTATGATATTCTCATTATTATTCAAATCCATACCACCAAATCTTATGCAGAATAAGAACATAATCAATGTCTGAATGTTCTGATTTTTAGCTACTCCTAATTTGTGCTACCTTATTAAATGATAAGGAAACTGTCACAGATAAAGGAGCCTAAAGAAATACAATGACTAAATGTAATGAATGAGATAATGGACAGAAAAATAACATTAGGTAAAAACTAAGAAAATCTGAATAAAGTTATTTTTTATTTAATAATAGTGCATCAACATCATCAGTTCACTGTGACAAATGTACCATACTAATATAACAATAAATAAGGGAATCTGAGTATATAGGTTATATGAGAACTTTCTGTACTACTTTTATACTTTTTTTTGTAAATGTAAACTATTCTGAAATAAAAAGTTTATAAAATAATTTGAACTTCTTTTGAATGTTATAATAATAATACACATAGGTCACTTTGAAGAAGAAAACTGAGGGAAACAATTAAAAAATTTGTCACTCATATTAACTCTCACTAAACACGAACTCATGAAAACAAAATTTAAATCAGTGAATCCACACTTTATTTAATCATTGAGATAATTTTAGGCAATCAACTTCAGCTAATAGAATAAATAGACTATATTTACTTTTACAATATGTGTGAGATAAAATTAACACAAGCACAAGTTGATTCTGCAATGTTTGATAAAGCTAGAATAATTGTTATGCAATCAGTAGGTTACATAAAAATTTTGCTTATGGAAAACAAAAGGCAAATAATATATCCACAGGAGAGAAATAATGAATTTTCAAGAAAGAGATCATTACACAAACTCTTTCAATCAGTAGGGGGAAAATGAATAGTTGTTATTTTTTTTTCACTAAAATTAAAATTATCTTGATACTCAGGATGAGAATATGTTCAGAAAAAAAAGAAAAGCCAATCTCATTTATTAAAATTATTACAACATCCCAAAACAATACCAAATCAAATCCATGAATATAAACCCAATATAGATGATCAAAGTGAGTTTATTTCTTCATTGAAAGAAAAATTATTAAATGTAACTTTCTATAAAGAGTAGATTAAAAGTGGAAAGAATTTTCATATATCAAAATGGAAAGACATTTACTATAATTCAACACCTTTTCATGATAAAAACAATCTTTAGCATATGTGCTAGGATCTATATCAGCAATTTTCAGCCTTTCTCCATCTCACAGCATATACAGACTAATTACTAAAATTCCATAGCACAATTATATAAAAATTGCCAATCTGACAAAAATAAATATATTTTGATTCATTCACATAGGAAGGTTATTGCATTGGCTGTTATTAATTTTTTTTGACAATATAAAGGAAAAGAGATCAGTGCCCCTGAGTAAATAGATATTGCATGTTTAAAAAATCCTTGCAGCATGCCAATATGGATGCTGAGACACACTGGTTGAAAATCTCTGATCTATATAAACTTCATTGGTTTTTGAGAGGAAGTGTTTTTTTACTATTTATTTTAAATTCAATAAAATTGAGGTGACATTGGCTAATAAAATTATATAAGTTTCAAGTGGACATTTTTATGATACATGATCTGTGTGTTGCATTGTGTGCCCACCATCCCAAGTCAAATAATCTTCCATCACCATAAACCTTTATTAACGCCTACCCCTGTTGTCTGTGTCTATGAGTTTCACTTTTATATCCTACATACGAGTGAAATCACATGGCTATTAGCTTTTTCTGACTGATTATTACACTTAGTATAATATCCTCAAAGTCCATCTATATTGTCCCAAATGGCAGTACTTAGTCTTGTCTTATGGCTGAGTAGTAT